CACATGAGAAACTGATATTATTTACTAACAAGCAAATGTGGGTGAGCAGGAAACTCTAAATACAGCCTTTAAATTGAGGATGTTGAAAGCCTCAATTATTAAATAAAAATAGTGAGCAGAGATGAAAACATATCTTGCAACATAATGAACTTTTGGAATACACTGGTATTACAATAGGTTGACTTTGTTTCACAAGAGTAAGTGTTTTGTAATATATTAAATTAGTAATGGACTTTTCCAAAACGAAAATAAACGGTTTCCGGTCCAATACTGAACTGTTAGAGGGAACTTGTCATAAACACTATCTATGTTGGGTGAAATTGGCATTGACAATGTGGAAGGTTAAATTCTGCATTATCAATGTAGCTGAGCGTGGGGCAGGCTGCAGGTGAAGACTAAAGATTCTCAGTTTTTGTCATACCTCCACCCAGCGGTATGGCATAAAACAGGGTAGGGTAGAATTTATGCACCATAACTCAATGAGCTGTACTGATTATATTACTTATAATGTCCCTTTAAAGAATGTTCTCCAGTATTGAAATACAGGGGGCATTGGAATAATGACTGAAACCCTAAATATTCAGTAATTTATTTGTAACATCAATAAACAAAAAACGATCTACATAAATATGCAGTTTCTTTAAACGGTTACAAATTCATATACCCACTCCTGTCACTTCCCGAGTTTTTTAATATTGTCTTTAATATATCCCTATATTTGCATATGCACTTGTGAGGTGTGAAAATTAAATTACATCAACACCCTTATATCCTGCAACTGGGTGCCTCCATCTTAGCTCCCTGTCAGTCATTTCTATTAGTTTTGTACCTGGCAGTCAACATAGAGAAAACATATTGAAAAGAATAAATGGAAATGAAACAATGTTATTTCTCCTCTTAATTTACAATATTTGTCTTGCCTGTGCCTTGTCTGATCTGGATTGAGATATACATTCCTAATCACAATGCACATTTAAAAGATAACAGAGCATTTCATTAAAAGGTTAAAGGGAACCTATAGTCAAAAAAAATAACAGTTGTTCCTGGACTTTAGATTCCCTTCTGTCTCCCCCATTTGCTTAAAAAAAAAAAAGGAAGTTAAATAAAGACTACTTACCTCCTATCTAGCACTGGGATTTCTCCATTACAGTCGCCCACTCTAACTTCGAAGATGTCAGCGTATTAGATGATGTCTTCCACAATCTCCTCCCTTTTCTAAACAAATATAAGCAGAGTAAAATTATGCCCAATATTTTAAAATCCAGGCGGTTTTTCAGATCAATTCATTAGCATTTTCCTCAAAGGTCTGTGGCAGAGAATTTTGGGAATGTGGATTCAATTTGTTATGCTTAACAGGAAACTCTACTGCCACACTCCCTTGATGGGAGGCAGTGAATCCCCGTCCTGGTGCTGACTAAATTTGAAAAAAAAAGAACTAGATAAACCTGTTAGCTTTTTTTGCAGGTGTTGCTTTCCCAGAATTAAGCTGATATATAAGATGTATTTTTATAGTCAGTAATTAATATAGTTGGAATCTATTATCTAAAAAGCACGTTTGAAGATAAGCCATGACATTTTTGTTAATTAAACCGTAAGTGAAGCTAATAGCAAAGCAAAAATATCCAAGCTATTAAAATTGCTTATTTGATTTCTTATTTTCAACTTTATGTTTTGGGCCTACATTTTAGAATTATGTTGTTTCTTTGTTTGCTCGGTTGTTTGAATGCAAATCAAATATGACTTATTTGGTGAAAGCCTGACATGAAAAACATCCCACTATGGTCAAATTAATCCTCACCTGACTTGATCCAAGTTTATTAGTTTCCTCTCAAGCAACTCAATAATCAAAAAAATATACTTAAAACTGTGGGATTTCACATTGGTTTGAGGTTTTAATCTAAAATCCTTAATTTGGGCCCCGAACTCAGCTCTGTTAAAAGGTATAGTCCCCCACCAAAAAAGGTTTTTTTTTGTGGGTCCTTTTAGTCAAATCTGCTAAGCCTTCTTTAATTGGGGCCAGATGTTTTGCAAATTTGGATGTCATCAGGACATACCATACTTTGCATATCTCTTCATGTGAGAGGAAAGGTGTCTGGGTTGCGACTGAAGTCACTGATGTCAAAGTCCTTGTCGGAGGTGTGGCGGTCCTCTGCCATGGTCTAGCAGACCACTAAATATCAGGGAAACAGCCACTTTGGATTTGGCTTTCTGTCTGCCACACATCTTGTCAAAGGAAGTTAAGCTTCTGACATTTGTTAAAGGCGAAATAGCAGGGCTCAGATAAACATTGCTGCTAATGTAAGGTGTTAAGAATCTCCTCTAAAAATCCGCCATTATGGTCAGAGGTTAGGCGCCACCCCCAGTTAGTCATTTCTAAAGAGCTGGCATGGAGATCTTTTGAGGAGGGGGGCCCAATCAGAGCCAGAGCTTATGGGTATCCAGTTCTGGCGGTGCTGACCCTCTACATCTGGCACCTGGGGCATTTGCAACCAAACACCCTCCCTAGTTTCACTGCAGCTATGTCACACACTTACCTTTAACTGGAGCCCCCTGCGCTCCTCTCCTTGGGCCATGTGGGCAGAACACACCGCGTGGCTGTATTGCCTCAGGCCTTGGGCGTGAATAGAATGCTTACCTTCCGTGCCGCAAACGGCTCCCTCTGCTGGTTCACGGGATGAACTGCAACACCTAATAAACTAATATAAAACCATGATGTCATTACCTTAAAGGGACCACAAGATCTAGGCGACCCAATGCTGTTTGGGCTCGCAGAGATCACATGGACCAAAGGGAACTCTAATACACATTGCTTAGAGGTGGGACGGTGGCCATTGCCAAATTAAACCTTGTTATTTCATTGATGTCATTGATGTCACTAGAAGCTAATAAAAGGAAAGAAATTCAAATATATTTTCAACTAATATTTTTATCTTGCTTCTCCTTTAAAACTTACAACTCTAAACCAAATAGATAATGTATCTTAAAGCTTTAAACAAGTGGTTGCTAGCCAAGTTTCAGGTAATACTTGTCTAGTCTAACCTTTCAGCATAAATTATAAAGTGCAAAATTAATTATGGGAATATCCCTCCCATAAACAACTTAACCTGTGTTTTTCTAAAAACCATGGATGTCTGATTCAAACAGATTGATATAGCATGTGTGATATCATACTGTTGCAAGGTAATAAAAACTGGACTTGCTACTACTTATAGATTTTACGCAAGATTTTTTTTTTCTCCCTGATAACATGCACTTTATAACTTTAATGTCAGCAAGTGCTGACGTTAGTTTTATTAGTAGACAATTTTACAGCACTGCTAACAGAATAAAAGCCATGACTTGTGTGTGAAGGAATCCTACTGATAAACTGTCTTGGAGATAAATATAAACAAATCTGACAAGCAAAATATGTACCCTCAATTGAAAGCTCTTATTCTTGTAGCCGTCAGGCTTGCTTTAGAGTTCAAAGCTCTATAGAAATGAATATTGGTAATTTGTAAGTGCAAGCAAAAAGGGGAAACTTAAAAAGTGTAGATTGAGGAAGAAAACTACTCTACATTTAATGGAATAAACCAAGAGGTGGACAAATGGTAGATCCCCGGATGTTTTAAAACTCAAAAGTTGTCTTAGGCATACAGTGGAGGAGACAGACTCTGTTCATTTTTTAATTTAATTCACTTATTATTTGTATTTTATAATATATATATATATATATATATATATATACACAATATATATATAGTTATTATATATATTATATATACGTGTGTAATTTAATTATAAGTGTATTTTTATATTAATATAAAAATACACTTAGCATGACATTTTATATATGTCTATATACACATATCTAATTATATTCTTTTTTTAACATGACTACCCCTTTAAGAGACCTGGCTGGGTTTGATCTAACAGCTCCAGCATCCCAATCAGGCTCTCTGACATGATATCCACCAGGGGACTTCATTTTTTGTTTGCATTATTCTGCTTCCTGACCCCTTGCCTGGAATGAGCAGTACTGCAACCCTTTTCCAATTAGCCAAACAATAAAAAAGAAAGCCGTCTACAGGCAATGGCTGTCTAAAAAATAGACTAGACCACTTAGCCTGTAGATGGTCACACCTTATAAGACACTCCAGTTGTGTCGTGGGGCATAACCCCTGATTAGAAAAACTATAAGATACTCAAAATAACTAGTACATGAGTATCCACTGGAATAATGAATAATAATGATTCTATACAAAGTGAGATATAGAGATATATATAATGAGAAAATACAATAATAGAAAAATGGGTCAGCTGAAAGTAGAGAATAACTGCCTAATGGCAAAAAACTCCCTTCCTAATGTCTCTAAAAGTAGATACTGCAGTACACAGGTTTAGACTTTAATATATAATGCTTCATAGGTCAATATCTGTGACTGCAGGCTGGTATCAATACATCCAAAGAATATATAAGAGACATTAAGGACTTGCTTTTACCTAGTAAGTCTCAAGCTGTGGCATTATATAAGATATAATACTAAATTGCTAGCGTATTAGAACATTAGAAGCTGAGTAAGCAGAAAAGTATAAATAGATACTATATGTTGGATCTATTGAAAATAATTCAATCAGTAAATTGTATCAAAAAAGTATCTATAATGTTAACTGCCATGTACTCAATTGCTAGCATATTGGGACATAAGTAACTGAATGTAGCGGTACTTACCCTTTCCAGGGGCCGGCCGGGGTCCTCTGTTCGAGCCGCGCGCGGTCCTGCTGCTGCACGAGCCGCGCGCGGCTCAGCCGACCGCTGTAACTAGTAGCGGTCACGTGTTCTACCTACTCTAAGAGCGCGCCGCGCGTATCGGGCGCGCTCTTAAAGGGACAGTGGGTGCCTAAATTGGAAAAGGCATCCCATTGGTCCCTGTCATGCCACACTCCCCATACACTTACCTTTTGGGGGCGTGGATGTGACAGGGACCAATCAAATTAGATGTTTAGGTATTTATACTCACCTTCTTTCCTTTGTTCCTTGCCCTATCGTGGTTTCTGTATCAGTTCCCTTTTAGCGCTTGTTGTGTTCAGTTGTGTTTCTCCGTATTGACCTTGGCTTTGTTTCTGACTACGTTTTCTCTTTATCCTTATCTGTTCTGGTTGTCGGCTTGTTGTTTTCTGTGTACCAGACCCCGGCTTGTCCTAGTTTACGCTGTCTCTCTGTGCCCTTGATTTCGGATTGTTCCTGACTCTGTCTCCTCTCATATACGTCGAGTCCGGCCATTCTAAGGTCCGGTAGACGTAGCTCTCCTCTGTGTTGTCTTTTGTTTAGCTGAATCCTGCGTGTTGGGTATATTCTCGTTACATTACGATAGGGCCATGGACCCCGCAGATTTGGCTCAGCAAATGGCTTCTCACGAGGCAAGGTTTGTAGAGCAGGATCACCGTATGGATCAGATAGCACAGGCTCTCCAGACGCTCTTGTCTAGAACCATTCCTGCAACCGCACCGACCCCTCCTACACCTCATCCTCCCGAAGTATCCAATTCAACCAATGCTTCGCCCCATTTAACACCTCCTCCTAGGTATGGAGGGGAAGCCAAGACATGCAGAGGTTTTATTAATCAAATAGAATTCCACCTTGAGATGTATCCTCATTCCTTTCCCACTGATAGGTCTAAAGTAGGGTTTTTGATGCATCAACTTACTGACAAAGCACTAGAGTTGGCAAATCCTATTTGGGAGGCCAATGGACCTATGGTTCATGATTTCAATAGTTTTCTTGCGGCTTTTCGTAGAACTTTTGACACAACAAAGAGGTCAAAGAATGCCGCAAGAGCATTAATGAGGATTAAACAGGGGTCTAGGTCTGTGGCGGATTATGCTATTCAGTTTCGCACCCTTGCTTCACAGGTAGATTGGACCAATAATGGGTTAACTACTGTGTTCATGGAAGGTTTATCTGACACTATATTAGATGAGGTAGCGGCAAGGGAGCTTCCTATTCCATTAGAGGATCTTATTGACTACCTCATTGATATAGATAATAGAATTCGCGACAGGCTCTATACCAAAAACAAGAATAGACGTCTGGTCACATCTTTTAACCCTAGAGTTGATAAACCTGAGAGTGTTAAAGTACCCGAGGAGGAACCCATGCAATTAGGGGTTGCCAAACTCTCGGATACTGAAAAACTACTTAGAAGAAGGAATGGACTCTGCCTATACTGTGGTAGGCGAGACCATATGGTAAGGGAATGTCCTTTGCGTCCGGAAAACTCTCGCACCTAAGACCTTATAGGGGACTGGCCTTTGGTGTGATCTCTAAGTCTCCTAAATTGCCTCCTAATCGTTTGCTTCTCCCTGTTTCCCTTCATATGGGGGTGAGTTGTATAGCAGAATGCATATTAGCCTTGGTTGATTCTGGGGCTGCTGAGAACTTTATTGACTCTGAGTTTGTTACAAAAAATAACATTCCCGTCAGAGAAAGGGAGATACCCTTGGCCATTGAGGCCATAGATGGTAGACCATTAAGTTCTCCAATTGTTACTCATGAAACTGTACCATTACACATGTATTACACTTTGAAACCATTCAATTCCAGGTTATCACATCTCCCTCTTCTCACATTGTGTTAGGGTACCCATGGTTACGTACTCACAATCCCATTTTCGATTGGGAGTCAGGGCAAATAAAATCATGGAGCGATGCCTGCCATGAGTCCTGTACTATTGAAGTCACCCCTTTGAATTCTATTAATGTCCCTACAACTCCTCCTTTGTCCACTGTTATACCCTCTCAGTACTATTTCTCAAAACTGTCTTCGATAAAAGGGAGGCTGACAAATTACCACCTCACAGACCCTACGATTGTGCTATCGATTTATTGCCTGGCACAATACCTCCAAAGGGCAGGGTGTACCCTTTATCTGTTCAAGAAAACCGTGTCATGGAGGAGTATATTAAGGAATCATTAGAAAAGGGGTTTATTAGGAGATCCTCTTCTCCGGCTGGAGCGGGGTTCTTCTTTGTATCAAAGAAAGAAGGTGATTTAAGACCGTGTATCGACTATAGAGGTCTAAATAAAATCACCATCAAAAATGCATATCCTATACCTTT